TCCTCCTCGAGCTCGTCGACGAACTCCGTCGCCTCCTCGATCCCGTCCTCCCACTCCTCCTGCGTGATCTGCGACAGCGCGGCCAGCTCGTCCTCGTCGCTCTCGTCGGCGTTGGCGCGCGCCTGGCCGTCCTCGTCGACCTCAGGCTCGTCCACCTCGTCCTTGACGTCGCGCCACTCCTCCAGCGTCTCGATCTCCGCGCGCCGCGCCGCGCGGCGCTGCCCGCCTGTGCGTCCCCGTTAGCCAGCACACTCGATGAACACATAGAAAAAGAAAAAACACGCACCGGTCCTCAACACGCCCGAGTCGAGCCACAACTCAAACAGGGCCGCCGCCTCGCGCACCGATAGCGCGTCCGGCACGCGTATCGCGCGCAGCGCGCGCTCCGCGACGCGCTCTTCCGCCGCCAGGCGCTCGGCCTCCTTCGCGCGCTCCTTCGCCCGTCTTCTCATACTTTTGCTCATCTTGCCCTGCCCCGCCGCCGCAACGCCGGCGCTCATCTCCTCCTCGCGCTCTTCCGCGTCCAACTCCGCGTCCACCTCGCTGTTGGTGGAGGCGGTGGTGGCGGTAGAAGAAGGCGCGTCGTCGTCCATGTCCTTGAGCACGAGGCCGCGCCACACCTCCGCGGGGCGTGGTGCGGGGAAGGGCTCCGCGGGCGAGGGCGCGACGCTGTCCTCGTACATCGGCGGGTCGTACACGCGCCAGCCCGTCCACGGCGCGCGCTCCGCCGCCTCTTCTGCCCCCTCGCTGTCCGAGTCCGAGTCCGAGTCTTCGTCCGATCGTTCGGCGTCCTGGGTCGCCTCCGTGCCCTCGACGCCCGAAGTCGCCTCCGCGCCCTCCTCGCCCTCGGAGGCCACGCCTTCGAGCTCCTCCGCTTCCGCCTCGATGTCGTCTTCGTCAACCTCCCGGGGCACCCACTCGGGCTCGGGGCGCGGTGGGGGTGCTACGGAAACAACGTCAGCGTCTGCCTAGTACGAGTAACGAAGAAAGCAAGCCGCCGCGAGGAAGGAGGAACCTCTGATGAAAGAAAGAAAAACGCGCACGCACCCTCCGCGTCGAGATACCACGCGAGCTGGCTGCTGCGGCGTTCGCGCACGGAACGCGGGGACGGGGAAAAGTCGAGGGGGAGGCGAAGCGCGTCGGCGAGTTGCGCGGTGACGGGGAATTGCGTGTCGGAGCGCGTGAGCGCGCCGAGGACCATGCCGCGGGCCTGGGGTACAATTAGCACATACATAGAGTAAAAAAATGGGAGGGACACGCACGAGCGGCTTGCGCCCCGAGGCGTACTCGAGCAGCAGACGGGGCATGCTGAGGTGGTGGGGCCGAATCATGTGGAAGCGCGGGTCGCGGTACATCGTCGGGCCCGCGAGCGCCTGGAAGTCGTCGATGGCGATGAGCACGGGGAAGAGCGTCTGCTCGCCAAGCTCGCGCAGCACGTACTCGAGCGCGGGCACGGCGTGGGCGGGGTCCTCCAGGTTGCGCACGCCGTCGACGACGTCGAGCAGCTGCGTGCCCGCGGGGAACTCCGCGCCGCCGTCGAGCACGAGCGGGGCGGTGGTGAAGATGAGCTCGAGGAGATGCTGGTTGGCGACGCCGAGGCGGTGGAGGGTCTCGAGCGCGGCGCGCGGCTGGAGGTAGGTCTGGGATTGGAGGGAGTAGTGGTAGGGAGTCGAGCCGTCGACGAGGCGGCGGGCGCGGGGGATGTAGAGGACAATCCACTCGCCCGAGGCGGAGGCGTACTCGGCGGCCTGGAGGAGGAGGAAGGACTTGCCACAGCCGGGACGGCCGTTGAGGACGAGGCGCGCGGTCTTTTCCTTGGACTCTTCCAGGGCGCGGATTATGGATAGCGTCGTCGAGGTTGTTACTGAGCACGGTGTCCCCAGGATGCGGTACTGCGGTAGATAAAATAAACAAAAAAATTTCAAAAAATTGTACAAGAAACGCGTACCTCGAGCAGCATGTGCTTGGGGACGCCAAAGACGCGATGGGGCGCGGTGCCGTCCTCGTCGTCGAAGCGGGTGGCGACGCCCGGGGCCAGGTCGCGCGGTTGCAACACCGGGAGGTCGAGCTCGACGCGGCCGATGCCGTCCGTCTCAAACAGTTCGTGGGTCAGGCTCTTGGCAGACAGCGGGTTGAACGTCTAGCAGGAAAGGAAGGTCAGGATGGCGGGGCCAGCGCGGCAGACGGCGAGCACGCACGCCGACACTTTTTTCGCGCTGCGGGAGGATGGGCCGTCCCATGGCATCGCGCTCGACCCCTCCTTTTTTCACCGCAATTTTGTCCTTGGGCATTATCCGCCGGACGCTGCCGCGGTAGCGCACGCCGACGCGCACCAGCGTCTCCACACGCCGCCGCCCGCGACCAAGAAGGAACATAAGTATGAAAACACAGCCACAGACTGCTTGCTCGAGAAAATTATCACAGAAAATTATCACAACTTGTAGGTAGTATGTTACAGCATTAAAGCTGGATAGCTAGGTATATAGCTGGTGCCTCTATGGGCTTCATGCTATGTAGGGAGGCAGAAAGGCGCTGGGTCCATTAAAGGCACGTATGTATCTCCGAGTCGAGACAGGCGTCGATCACCACTGAAGAACATAACAAATCAGCACTGGCGTCTCGCACCTCTCGGAACGGACTCGCCTATTACAACGCGATCATATGCATGCTGGGCCGCGGGACGTCGCGGACCTTGGTCTTATTTTTTGGGGCGGACGACGCGGACGCGGGGCGCATCAATTTCGCGAAGAGGGACGCGCTGCCCCGCTTTTGCGTTTGAGGCATCTGTACGGGGACGGGCGCGGCGCCGCTGAACCCGTGGCTCGACTGGAGGCTCGCGAACGCGGCCTCGAAGTCCTTGGCCTGCGCGGGGGACGCGCTAGGGGAGACGGCGCGCGTCTTTTGCTTCTGCTTTTGCACGGGCGCGGGCGCGGGCACGGAGGCGGCGAACCCGTAGCTCGACTGCAGGCTTGCGAACGCGGCCTGGAAGTCTTTTTTCGGCGGCGCGGTGGCGTTCAGCGGTGCGCGCGAGGAGACGGTGGTGGTCGACACGAGGGACGCGGTGGAACTCGATGCGGAGGACATTGCTGCTGGGGGGGTGGTGCTGATGTGGGTTGGGTGTGTTTTGTGAGTTGGAGTGGCTCTCGAGATGCGCTGTTGTTCTCAACCACCCAAATCCTCGCGTAGCTTTATACATTATTCGAAATAGCTGCGGTGCCTTGTACGCAGCCGCAAATAAATTTTGCTGTCCCTTTGTGCACGGAGATCATGGATGCGCAGCCCAGGTTGGCGGAGGCGGCCCCGTCCGTCGGCGTCTAAGTCTGACTTACCGCCGGCATACAGCTTTTGCCGCCCATAGCGCATACAGTGGCTTGCATCCGCAACTTTGTCTGACAGCCCGAGTGAAAGCTGAGACACAAGCGATACGAGCGGGAACCGCGTTGACTCGACAGCTAAATGCGGGATCGCGTAATCCCGCCCGGCGCGGTTTTGGGGATAACATGCAGTCGCAGTAAAAGTCCCAGTTGTCTTGCGCTGCGGTTCTGGGGCCCACAAGCCCAAGGAGATCATGATCACTTGAACATATGAGTGCGCAGTTCAAGTTACTTTCGGCCGAGAAGCCGAACGACAGCAGCAAATAAACTAACGCCTGCTGCTAAATTAGGAAATTTGCATCAAGTCGGATCGGGTTAGAAAGGATGCCGAAGATACACTGTTATCTTCTCAGGTAAAAGTCCAGACTACGTTACATGGAAGTAAAAACTGGACTAGGACAAGCTGAAGGGGATTTTTAAAAACGAGGGTTCTCGGTGTAAGAGATTCTATGTCATTAGTTCTCTCCAATTTCGCTCAGAGGGTGATGTGAGGCCCCAGGACGAGTGACTGAGTTGTAGTCCACTCGGACGCCGTGTGAATGACATTTTCGAGGAGGGTGAGCGAGTCCTCCGTGATGAGAGTCTTGGGCTTCTTCCAGCCTTCGGCAATGGCCAACCGTTCTTTGCGGAAGAAGATGTTCACGAACCTACCAGCGCCAGAAAATTTAATTCAACACAAACTATCCAAAATAGGAGAACGCGTACTTTTTAGGCAAATTGTCGCCCGTGCCGTCGCCAAAGTCGTTGCGCGAGATCGACGCGTCATGTTCGATCAGGTTGTGGCTGCGGCGCGTCAGCAAAAATATTCTGAAGCCCTTTGATACTTACAGCGAAAGAGCTCCGAGCTTCATTTGCTGGAAGGTGGTCTTGTCCTCTCCGGAGAGGAGACCGAACTGGCCGCAACGAGAATGGGCTCCCAGTCGAGATTGAAGGCAACTGTGCCGTGATGAGTTGCACTTTTTTTAGTCAATATGCATCCACGCACTCAACGCAGCGTCCATGAGTTGCGGAATGGTGAAGTTTGATCCATTACGAGGGAGATACCCATGGTTGGCGAGGCTGTAAAAAAATTGGCACAGAAGCACACTTGGACGAAAAAACACACGCGTATTGAGTCCTGGGCACGGTGAGCGTGAGTCTGTTCGTTTGGCAGCAATGAACATGTTTCCCAAGGGATCCAACCCGCCGGGGCGAGATGGGGCCGGCCATGCCGTCACTTCAGCGACGAGAAAAATTGAAGCGACAACGAGAGAAGAGAACTTAATTTGCATGCCAACTATTGAGGAGAGGGTGTTGCTCAAAGCAGCACGTTCAAGGTGTTTTTATATTCGTCCCCTTGAATATCCGTGCGTGTGAAGCCATATAGGAATGCTGACTGGTGTCAATGGACTTCATATTCCACAGCTGCTTGCATCCGCGTACCGTCGAGCTGGAGGGAAGGAGCAAAGTGCCAAATTGCCGAATTGCTATTGGTCGTGGACTCGAACCACAGCCTGATCATCTCGCCGCAGTTGGGGTTAAGACTCATTTGGCCTGACAAGCTCAGCAGAACATCCGGCGTTTGGGAAAAGAAGACGGCATTTTAAATCCAAATGGAGTAGACCAAAAGTAAAAGGAACAAAACAACTGCTCCAGAGAGGCTCGAACTCTCGATCTCACGATTGCTATCGATTTAACAGTCGTGCGCCTTAGCCAACTGGGCCATGGAGCACTTTTTAACATGCACCGTTTGAGTACTTTAGCTGAATTTCCTCTTTTCCATTTCCCCCCACGAGTTTTGGAATATCACCTTCCCTTTAGCGCCTTCCTCAATCTATTATCATTGTTGCCCACATTTACCAATGCGCTGATGAAAATTTCGGGTCGGCCTCTTGGTTTCTGGATCCAGAAACGACATGAAGGATGTTAAAAACCCCTTAATAGGTGTTGGGAGTAAATATCCCCAACAAAGAACAATAAAATCGAATAACAATTGAGTGAGATAGAGCCAAAACAGTTTTTTCACCATGCACAAACAACGTGATATGCTGTTCACTTGTGCGGTTCAAAGGGTTTGATTCAGTGAGTGGAATGAGCCCAGGAACATCAGAATCGAATAAGAATTGAGTGAGATACAGGGCAAACGGTGTTTCACAGTGTCCAAACAACTTGAGGTATATCGGATGCATCCAGTTGTAATCTCCAGACAGGTGTGGGAGGGGAATTGAGCGAGTCAAGCTAGGATTCTCCTGAAAACAGGACGTTAAGAGGTATAGAGGTGCCCCAGCGAAAGCTGAGACGAGATGCCGTGGATGCCGCGGATCTCGCTTAGATGCCATCAGAGTCCACGATCCAGAGGTCAAGCACCCCTTGGGGAAACTCCGAAGCTTCTGCAGTCATGTCCCAACTGCTTTCACGAGTACCACTCTTACGGAGACGCCTCTACTCAACCTCTTCCAATTTGTCTCGGCTGGATATTGAAGCTCTTGACGACTGGATTGCTTCTCCAAAGCAGTTGGTGCTACGAGACACGTTCAGCCCGGAACGTCTCTCAGATCTTTATATCACCCTTCCAACACGAGATGGGAGCAGGGCCCCATATCGTGCACCAAAACTTTCGACTCCCCTTGGCTACGGGTCTCATCTTGCTTTCTTCCACCCCAGAAACCCCGAGCGCGATCTCCGTCCTGATGGAACGGATGCCGACTTTCGCCCGCCCAAGCCGTTAACGAGACGAATGTGGGCGGGAGGTCGTATGTCGTGGGATCCTCAAAACTCACTCCTTGTCGGGGAAAGCGCAGTGTCCACGTCGACTGTCGATTCCGTCGAAAAGAAGGGGTTCGAGAAGGGTGCACCTATGGTATTCGTGAAACAAAAGATTCAAGTCACCATGGTGGGCAAAGACCGGCCTTCAGTCGTGGAAGAGCGGGCCCACGTCTATCTCGCCGATTCGGCTGCTGTTAACAAAGTTCCCCGAGACGGCGAGCCTTTGTCTACCTCTGCCTTGTCTTGGATGGGCCTGACCCTCTACCAGTCAAGGGCATACCTCCCACCGCTGATTTCACTTTCACTTTTACTCCGACCATCACGACCTTGTTTCGTTTCTCTGCCCTCACGTTCAACGGTCATCATATTCATCTTGACAAGGACTATGCACAGTTGAAAGAAGGTTACCCGGGTTAGTTCCCATTGCTCGCAGACACATGGCCATGATTTCGAATAACCGTTCAGAGAGACTCGTGCACGGGCCCTTGACTGCGCTCATGCTTCTCGAGGTTACTATGCTCCAGAAACCTGCAGCACGTATCGCGCACTTTGAATACAGGGCCAGAAATCCAATCATCGTCAACCGCCCAATGACTATCTCTGGAGCTTGGAATGATGAGCACAGTGCTACCCTTTGGTGCATGAACGACGAAGGAGTGATTGGAATGACCGGCTCTATTCAGCTTGCGTCGTAAGGTGTCTCTGTACTGTATAATAATATCAATACAAGTTGGTTGGTGAGGAAGACCTATTCTCTCTTGACAGACGCTTTATCGTTTCAAACTCGTTCCTCCTTTGCGGAAGTATATGTCCGGACGATATTGATCTGACTGGACAGCCACCGCCCGTTAATCTCTTGCCTCGAATTCCAATCAATAGCTCAGTCATGTGAAGGCAGCTGGGGAACCGCCGCGCCGCCGTCCCGACGCGCCCGACCACATGAGCACCAAGTACTTATTTCCTCCATAAATTGGTTGAGAGCATTTGCCGACGCAAAAAAATGGCTCCCCCGCGCTTACTGGTATTTGCCGCTGCCTTCTCCTGCGCGGTGTCAGCGTCGGGCGCGTCCTTCGCCAAATATGCCGCCTGTCAGAGCACACTGAAGCCCAAGCTTCTCCCGACGCTGTTCTGTCCAGCGGGTGCAGTGGTTTCGGTTGCGCCTTTTTCATTTTGAAGCTCAATAGGTGACCGGTGGTTTAGGGACGATTTTTGTGTCGCAGACGGACTCCCATGCCCATTTTACGAGCGTGCAAGCGGCGGTCGAGTCTCTGCCCAAAGATAACTCCCCCGCCGTCATTCTAATTGGCGCAGGGACCTACCAAGAGGCGGTGAATGTCTCAAGAACAGGCCCTACGATGCTGTTAGGACAAACGGACCACCCTGCGTCTTGTAGGTGTTCGTATGAACTATAAGAATAAATTTGATTGGACCCCAGATGCTCAGAATCTCGTCACGATATTCAACACGACGTTCATAAACCAGACGACCCAGATCGCGAGCCTACAAGACAACGCAGATTCAGCGGTGCTCACGGTGGCGCCCAATAAATATGCTGCGTGGACGGGGGCGGGATATTACGGAGGAACGCCCGTTCCGATACCAGATGTGCGTGGTCCCCTGTCGCCTTAATTCCTTTTCTTCTCATGCAGGAATTCTCGAGTCAGGATTTTGGGTGCACCGATTTCAAGGCGTACAACATCAACTTCGAGAATCGAGCTGTGAGTTTCCTTGCGGCTACCATGACAGACTCCCTTCCTCTTGCTCATCGGAGGCTATCAGGCGAACGGTGGTGTAGGCCCGGCGCTTGCGTTCGGCATTGGCTTCGCAAACGCGTCCTTCTATGCGTCAACGTTCCGCGGGATGCAAGACACCATGTTCGTCGGCAAAAATGGGAGCGCTGTATTCCGCAAGAGCCAAGTTCTAGGTTCCGTGTCCGTCCCTCCCCTTGCAGTCTGAAAAAAAAATCACTAATGCTCGGGTATCTGTAGGGACTACATCTACGGCTTCGGCACAGCGTACTTCGACCAGAGCTTAATCGGCACCCGGGGCGCGGGCTGGTGCGGTATATACTCATTCCTATTTCAGTCCCTCTGACCAGTTACACAGCACAACGGCGTGGAAAGGGACGCCGAACTACACCAACACCTACGGCGCGTACTTCTCCCAGTCCTCCATTGTGCGTTCCCCAGACGCGAACCCCGCGCTGAACCTCGCGGGCCTGCAAACCCTCGGGCGGCCCTGGAACAACGCCAGCGTCGTGGTGTACATGGACGTACGCCCTCCCCGTCACGTATCCGTAACCTTCGCGCTGACGACACCCCCGCCAGTCGTACATGGACTCTACCATCAACCCGGCGGGATTCCAGATCTGGTCCCCAACGGACCCCCGGAACGAGACCATCTTTTACGCGGAAGAGGGCTCGCACGGTGAGCAGCATGAATGCCTTCCAAGTTCAATCGTTCTGAGGTTGCGGTTACTTGCTAGGCCCGGGATTTAACGCGTCCGCTCGCGTTTCGTTCGACCATCTGCTCACCGCCAAGCAGGCGAGGCAGAATTTCACTGTCAACAAGATCTTCGGAGGCCTACCGAAATGGGTGGACTGGGAGTTTTAAGCATTCTGAGGGCAAGTGTTGGCGCAAAAAAAGTTGTCAACACGATTACGAAGTGCCCCTATTTTGGGATGTAGGAATGCGAAAATAGTTAATTCTTATTGGATGATGCAAGTGAGAGTTAGTAGCAACAAGCGTAAACGAGTAAAACGACAACATTATTTACACAGGCTGCAGCGAATATCAAAGTGTCTCTATGGCCCTCCTCACCTCCTCTGCCCGCAGTTCAAACATACCAAGTTGTCGCTCTCCGTCCCTCTTGAAACGTTCGTACTCAATCCCCATCTGGTACCGGATCCACTCCTCCACAGTCATGTCCTGCTCGGCCTCGGTCAGAGACTCGAGATTGACAAATGGATCGGTTGCGAGCGGAGGGATGAAAGCAAACCCTTCTGGGTTCACTTGCGTGATGCTTGAATCGCGCGGCTCGTCCTCCGTCCGAGCGGAATGGGCGGGGGGTTGAGCGTGCGGAGGAGTGGCAGGTAAAGGGTCCGGTTCTACGTCAAGCCTCATCGACTCCTCAACCTCTGCCATCTCCACGTCGTCTCCGTCATCTATCATCTGGCTGGGATGAGCGAGCGTTCGCTTCTCTTCGGCTTTAGCAGTAGGCTTCTTCTCCTTGCCTTTACCTTTCCCCTTCAGCGCCGCTTTCGTCGGCTTCGGCTCCTCGTCGTCAGTGGAGATGTCCACGACGGGCAGTCCATCTCCGCTCTCGCCATCGCTGCTGTCATGCTCCTGGTCGTCGTAATGCTGCGCGACCTTCTTTGCTTTCGACGGGCGCGACTGAGAATGCGATGTCGAGCGAGGCTTTTGTGGTGGAGGGGACGGAGGGGGCAATTTAGATCCAGGTTTTCTCGAAGTCGCGTCTGTCGTTTGCGAGGACGGACCAGCAGCGTGGGACGCTGGTTTGGATCTAGAAGTCTGCCGCGAGAGGGCGACCGGTTCCGGTGGCTCGAGCTCGTCGGGCGCTTGCGTGTCCAAAAAGTCCAACGAATCATGGCTGGGAGTGGGATCGTGCTTGCTCTGCTCTTTCGTCTTCGCCGTCGTACTCGCACTGCGGGATACTGGAGCAGCTGATGTCGATCGGGTGGACGCCTTTCTCGTCCGCGTTGGTGGAGGGGCGACAGGCTCCTCCTCCTCTATAGCTTCCGCTGTTGGCGCTGCGACCTCAAACTTCGGAACAACGGGTTTCGAGGCGGATCGAGAAGATGGTTTGCGGACTCTCGGCGCTGTGGGCTCTTCCGCAATCTCGTCGACCTTCGAGGGCGGTTTGGATCTGCTGGATTTCACTGGGGGAGGCCGTTGAACCGAAGGTGGAGGCAGGTACTGTTCCATCTCTATCTCTTCGTCCTCCTC